GTGTGTGTTCTGCAGCATGGGGGCTACAGGAGCCCGGGATCTGGGTGTGAATCCTGGCTCTGACGCTCAGTACTGGCCGTGGGCCCCCTGGTGAGTCACCGCCTCGCTCGGAACCTCGGTTTCCTCATCTGTAAAATGGACAGAGGCATTCAGAGAACTGGCCCCTGAGCCACACCCCTCCCTCGTGTCTACTGCAGAGCCTGCATATTCTGGGTGGCTATATTTCCTTGCTATCCCCTCCCCCAGCTTCCCCACCTCCTTACCCCCAGCCCTGGGGTGTGGCCCGGAGACTCAATTCTGACCAATGAGGTATAAGCGGAAGGATCCCAGCGCTCCCTGGAAGGCTTCTTAAAGGCCCTCCACCTCCCTCTCCCAGCCTGGGGGTGAAGGCTGGCACCCTGGCAGCCCTACTGCACCACGAGGCATCCCTGAGAACACACGCTGAGATCCGGAGATGCCTCAAACAGAGGGGGACGCTGTGTTCTAAAGCTCCTGTGTCGAGCCCGGACCTACCCCTACAGCGTCCTGCCCCTGATGCCTGGCCCCAGGCCCCCTCCCTGGACGCCGACCTCACACCAGTGTGGAGTCTTTCCCCGTGGCCCCCGGCCTGTGGCCCAGCATGCTGCGCATCTCGCGGGCGACCCCATCCCAGGGCCCTGCGCCTGCCGGCATTGTCCTGTGCACACGAGGTGCGGGTAGGCTGCCCTCCTGGCCGCCCCCAAGGGCCATCGGCGCTGTGGAGGAGGCCATGGTCCCAAGAGGGAACTCAGGCTCGGGGCAGGTTGAGTAGGGGGACCGTCGGTAGGTACCCTGCTGGGGCTGAGCCCCGGGGCCGGTCTTGGAGACCCTGGTGGGACGGGTGGGATCCTCCTCAAAGGGTGGCGGGGACAGCTCGTGGAGGCCACGGCGGGTGGCTCGGGCAGCACGGAGCAGCGTGTGGGTCAGCACGGCCACCAGGGCCAGGGCTCCCAAGCCGAAGATGGAGGCGGCCACCGCGCCCGTCTCAATCTCAAAGAGCAGCAGCGCGTAGATGGACAGAGCTGGGGAGGGAAACAGGGCTTGTTTATTCACTCCACAAACAGCAGCCGCCAGCCCGCAGGGGCGCCCCAACCAGGGGCTCTTCCTAGGGAGCCCCAGCCCACAGGAGGCACAGACACGAGCTCATCTGATGCTCCTGTGGCCTGTGATAGACCATCATCATCTTCATGTCACGAGCAAGGAAACCGAGGCCCAGAGAGGTTAGGGTCTTCCCCAGACCTGCACAGCTAGGAGATGACAGAGGTGACCCCAGTTCATAGGCAAAGAAACTGAGGCTGGGGGTGGTGGTCTCTGGCCCAAGTTCATCCAGTCAGTAGGTTCCAAGCCACTTTGAAAACCTTTTTAAAAACAAATAAAACCCACCACAGCCATCAAGTTGATTCTGCCTCCCAATGATGCTATAGCAACCATCTAGGATGGAGTTGAAGCCCTGGGGGCTTAGTGGTTATGTGTTGGGCTGCTAACTGTAAGGTCAGCAGTTTGAAACCATCAGCCACTCTCTGGGAGAAAGATGAGGCTTTCTACTCCCGCTAAAAGTTAAATTCTCAGAAACCCCCGGGGGCAGTTCTACCCTGTCCTTTAAGGTCACTATGATCCAGAACCAACTCGACGGCAGTGAGTTTTAAGGACAAAGCAGGGTTTCCAGGACTGTCCAGGGCTTTCTACTCCCATAAAGAGTTACGGTCTCAGAACCTCAAAGGGGCAGTTCTACCATGTCCTAAGGCAGTGGTTCTCAACCTTCCTAATGCCTGTAATTTTGCTACTGTAAGAAACCGGTGACCCCTGTGAAAGGGTTGTTTGACACACACCCCCAAAGGGGTCACGACCCACATGTTGAGAACCGCTGACCTAAGGGGTGGCTGAGTCAGCATCAACTCAATGTCGGTGAGCTTGGGAGTCTTCATGGAGGAGACAGCCTCAGTTTCTCCCACAGAGCGGATAGCAGGTTTGAACCGCAGGCCAAGCGGGGAAATACAAATCAAAACCACAACGAGAGACCACTTCTCGCTCATTAAAACCCAAAGCCTGCCAGTCAACTTAGGACTCCAGGTGAGCCCGGGTCACGCAGCAGAGCTGCTGTGTGGGATTCTCTTGACGGATCTTTCCAGAAGCAGAACGCCAGGCCTTTCTTCCACCACGCTGCTGGGCGAGCTTGTACCACCCAGAGCTCCGGAAATGCTAGAACCAAACAATTGGGCAATACTACTTGTTGGTTGTCGCTCTGAGGTGCCATCGAGCCACTTCCCCCTCCCAGGGACCCCGTGTACCACACAAGGAGACACACCCAGGCCGGCTACACCATCACCATCGTTTTTATGTTTGAGCCCACTGTTTCAGCTACTGTGACAATCCATCTTGATGCGGGTCTTCTCTTTCACTGCCCTTTTACTCTACGCAGCATGATGTCCTTCTCCAGGGACTGGTCTCTCCTGAAAGCGTGTCCAAACTAGTGAGACAGAATCTCAGCATTCTTGCCTCCAAGGAGCATTCTGGGCACCCGTCTTCCAAGACAGATTGATTTGCTCTTTGGCAGCCCATGGTACTTTCAGTATTCCTCCCCCAACACCATAGTTCGAACGCATAGATTCTTCTTCAATGTCCCATGGTCACATACATTTGAGATGACTGGAAATTCCATGGCTTGAGCCAGGCACGTCTCTGTCCACAAAGTAACCTCCTTTTGCTTTTCAACCCTTGAACGAGGTCTTATGCAGGAGTCCAGGGACTGGTCTCTCCTGACAACCTGTCCAAAGTACACGAGATGAAGTCTCACCACCCTTGCTTCGAGGGAGCAACAGGACCCAGCAATTCCATGCCTAGGGACCACACACGCGAACTGAGAACAAGGCAGGCCTCAAGCAGACACCGTGTGCTGATGCTCACCCAGCACTGTTCACCGTGGAAAGGTGGTCAACAGCCTGATTGGCTATCAGCAAATGATGGATAAACACAACGTGGTCCATCTACAGACACCAGGGAAGAGTGTGCAGTCACTCGACAGGAAGGAAGCACTGGTATATGCCACAAATGCGGATGAACTTTGAAAACCTTACACTGACTGAAAGAACACCACCACCACCCCACCCCACCCCTAAACAAGGCCACACAGTGTCTGATTCCATCGATACAAAATTCCCCAGCAGGCAAATCTATAGAGAAAGACAGTCAGGTGGTTGCTGGGGTGGGGAATGGGGAGCATGAGGGGCCAAAGAGAACGGGAAACAGCTGCTATTGAGGGAAAGGTCCCCTCTGAGGGGGGTGGAACCCTTCTGGAGCTAGACAGAGACTGCTTGTACAACTAGGCAAGCCCTGAATTAGTGCCACCCAGCTGTGCTCTTGAAACGGGTTAAGATGCAAGTTTTGTTCATGTATTCTCCCACACTCCCTAAACATGGCTTCTAGTTCCAGAGCCCCTGGCTCTGGCCTCCTTGAGTTATGGTCCAGGGCAGGGATGGGGAATCTTCTTTTCTGCCAAGGGCCATTTGAATTTTTATAACATTTTCAGGCCATCCTGGTCAAGCATTTCCTTAACTTTACACACACACACACACACACACACACACACACACACACACACACACACGCGCGCAATGGTTTGGAGCCCTGGTGCCGTAGTGATTACTCATTGGGCTGCTAACCAGAAAGTCAACAGTTTGAAACCACCAGCCACTCCTCCGGAGAAAGAGGAGGCCTTTTTTCTCCCATCAAGAATTCCAGACTGGGAAACCCACAGGGGCAGTTCTACTCTTCCCTATAGGGTTACTGGGTGTCAGGAGTGAGCCTTTGGCTTTGTTTTTTATGTCATGACTCAGAGGGATCTTGAGTCACATCCTTGAATCACATCCTTCTCTGGCCTTTTGCTGATCTGAACAACATGATGGTCAGGGAGGTCATGACCTTGAGAACCTGTCTGTCCCTCTGTCATCCTGTCCAGTTGGCACAATTCTTGGTGGTGGGTGACTGTCCTGTGTATTGTACTACATGCAGCAGCATCCCTGAACTTCACCCACTCAATGTCAATAGAATGGGTCATGACCACCCCAAGCCATGACCATCAAAAATGTCTCCAACCAGTCCCAAGTATCCCTTGGGAGGGGGCAGAATTGGTCCCTCTTGAGGATCCATTGATCTAGTCCCCAGCCACTGGGTCTAGAAAGTATTGGCCCACCTCTTTGGATGCAGTGATATCCCTGGAACCTTGCTTGGCTAATCAGGTCATTGTGATTGGTGCAGGGGTATCACATGACCCAAGCTCAACCAATCAGAGTCCATCCTGAGACTTGCGTGGCCTACAGGACTGCGGGAATCCTTTTTCTAGCAATCCATGGCTGCTACAGCCAGGGCTGCTAGGGGCGCAGAGCTGATGGAGGGGCGGGTTCGTCCACTCCCTGGCTCTCATTTGTGCAGACGCTGCACTGCAATGTGTCAGGCACAGTAGAACCAGGTCAAAGCCTTCGTTTGGATCTAAGCATCCATGAAAGGACTTCTATCATTATTCTTTTGGCTCTGGCTCACGTTGAGCAAAGGCCTGGCTGGAGAATTCTTGCAGCGTGAGGTCACTTCATCTCACAAAGAAGCAAACCAGGAGGTAAAAGGAGGTGAATGAATACCACATTTAACGCTTAACGGGACTGACACAATGTTACAACCCCCGCCCCCCTTTTTATTTTCTCTTTGCAATTTCCCCTGGGGTTGAGAACGAGGACACTTCTTCTGCGGGTCTCCAACATTTTCATTGGCCCGGCCCATGCGAGGGTTTGCGTTTCTAGGCACCGTGCCCCCAACAGTCATGGATACAGGCATCCTTTGCAGAAGTGAAATGAGAGGCATTTCCCATGACCTCGTTTGAACGCCTGGCCCCAGCCGCACCTGAAGTCAACTTAAATCAGTTATCCAAGCCAGGCATATCTTTCTGAACGTCTCCGTTCTCTTTGGTGAGGCTAAGAGATGGGGAGGAGGTGGGGGGAGGGGGGAGTCAGCAACAGCACCCTCTTTGTTTTTCCGCTCAACGGAGTCATTTCTTTTCTTCTGGTAAGACAGGTTGCAGGCAGGCTGGCTGAGAGCGCACTGATGCAGTAGGAGTTTGCAGACTTTCTGAAATCGTGGGTCCGGGCACTGGATGCGAGGTGGCAAAACCTTATCAGTCCTTCAGGGTGCTGAGCACACCACGACCGAACATTGGTTCGAAACCGAACCCGTCGTGTAGAGGCGTTGCTGGCTGCGCATGCCCATGTGGCCCCGCAGACTCCAGCGCATGCCGGTTCTGAGCGCACCCCATGCGCTCGTCGCCAAAAGGGAAAGAAAACCACGGACTTTTAAAGAGCGGCCCCATCCCTGGCACCAGGCACGCGTTTTCCAAGAGTCAACCACAGAGCTACAGATGCTGGGTCTTTTTAAAGAACCCTGATGGTCCGATTCCTTGGCCAGCACATCTGAAGGACAGCATGTGGGTCACTTCCAGTTGAGAAGGGAAAGGGAGGAGGTGTGTGTTCTTTTTAAGGCCAGGGATATTATGCCTGACTCTGCTTCTTATTTGGGGAAGGGGGGCGGGTGCTGGTGCGGATTTACCAGTTCCCTTCTGGCCCAGCCACAGATGCATGGCTCACCAATGGCTCACCAGCCTTAAAAAACAACGAGGCCCTGATGAAGGAAGGCCTGTACCTGGAGGAACCTTGAAAACATGCTGAGCGAAAGACATCAGTCACCAAAGGATAAACACCGTATATCCCACTTACACGGAGCCCTGGTGATGTGGTGGCTGAAGCACTGGGTGGCTAGCTACAAGGTCAATGGTTCAAATCCACCAGCCATACAAAATACCAATTTATAAACTATCGAGGGCTCATGAAGGAGGGGGAGCGGGGAGGGAGGGGGAAAATGAGGACCTAATG